ACTGATCGCTTTTGGATGGACAAATGATGGAGCAAGTTAAATGCAGCGCTGACGTCATCTTATAGATACTAAATGTGGATTAAGTTTGGATTACAGAAACCTACGAAGCTGCTACTATAATCAAAATCATTAAATGGCAATGATTGTTCGATATAACGGTATATATAGAGTTATTGTTAGCGTTTATATATAGCTGATCTATTCTCTGTAATTATAGTGGTGAACGGTATATTAGTTTAATATCAACATCATGTAGACAGCCGGATAAGAAATTAAAATCGAGATAATAATTGAAATATTGATAAGAATGAAAGCGAAATAAATTATTTTAGTTACGAGTTTGTAATCAACATTTATAATGAGATAAATAATAATGTCATTCTTGTTATAACCGAATAAATTAAATATTACACATTATTATTTAATTAATTTTAATTTTAAAATATCTCGTATTCAACGCGCGCACAAGATTCCACCGACATTGGATTGCAAAAGCGTTCATTCGCAGTAAAAAGCGACCCTTTTTTAATATTAAATTTTACTAAAAATTTTAAGTTTATTTTACGTTTCTTTTTTATTTCGGTTCATAAAAACGAAAATGAAATATTTTGTTTGTGAACAAGCAGAACGGAAACTAAATATTTCGCCTCTGTACAGAGATTGAAACAAGCGTTATATTTTTTTGTTTTCAGTTTCGAAGTCCAACAATGTACCTAGAGATTTCAGTTGTATTCGCCCACTGATATTTGCTCTGGAAAACTACGACTTGTATACCTTGCGTTTCTTAACACACTGTACTACAAGGGTGCAATCAAGAAAGATATTTTCTTTTAAATATAATAAATATCATTTATTTATATTTTTGCCTTTGTTTGGCAATAACGAAAATATCGATCGTTGGAAATAAATTGCATTCTATGATCGCGTTTCTGCGGTATATGTTGATACATTATTCAGATATTATGCGAGTTTAAATCATCCTTGATTGGTAATCGTTAATCGAACTCTACGTAACTATTCAAGCTGAGAGAAAACGGGAGCGGAATAGTCGTTCCAGATATGGCGATCGATTCGGTTCACCTTCCGCGATTAACGTATCCGAAAGCCGCGGCAAAGACACGCCAACGTGTCCCAAATAGACACGTTCGGTCTTTACACGGTCTCGCCTATACGCTGCTCTATCGTTGTATCAAAGTTTCAGTCGAGCACGCCTGTATGGCCCTTGCACGATAAATTAAGAGGCGCTAATTACGATCCATATACCTAGACACTTCATCCAACTTAGTTCCGTGCATAACCGATATATCCGAGATCTATAACGAGGATGTATCGATACGTCAGCCGAAGCCAAGGCCGCACAAACGCTACAAGTTTAAATTAGGAAGACACGTGTAGTTTTCAAAGCGACGAAACTTAAAGGACTTTCACGTAAAGGATGAATTTTCGATAGAACGTTCGGATGAATTCTCGAAATTCATGGTCATATGTATCCAGAACACTCTCGTAATCGACTTGAGAGACGTGAAATCAGCTTGTATTTAAGTAGAAAGGAAACCAAAATATAGTTAGTAATTAGATTTCTAGTGATTAGATTTCTGGTTAATTACTGGTCACATTTCTGATTTCTCTCGGTCTTCTGGTCTCTACTCGGGCGAGTATCCAATGCAGCACATTAGATTCTAATGTATCAAAATTGTATCCGACGAGAGAGCATCGATTCTTCATTCCACTCCTCGCAAACTCATTAGTTTACACGGTAACGCCGTACGCTTCGTCAGACAAGGGGTCAGAGAAGATCAATGGTTGGATCAAGCCTGGCACGTTGATCGAGCATCCCGGCATTCGCGAATACGAGTATCTAAAAGCTTACGCCGCGGGACGACGCTGAAAAAGCGCCCAAAGGGACTAAGATTAAAAGAGCTCGAGTAAATAACGCAAAAAAGACCCTCCCCTTAACTCGTAGATACGCGCGCGAAGTAAGTAAAGAGGATAGCCGGCGGTTTACTTTCGGCAGTTAAGAGAGGATACGGATGGTCCAGAGTTACACCGGTCCGGGTAGTAATGCGGTGCATTAATTCGAGTAGGATGCAGGCGTGCTGAACGCGCGCAAATACGAGCGACGTTCGGTACATTCCTACTTGATGAATTACGCAACCGCGGATATACGCGAGGGCGATGAGTCTCTCTCTTTCTCTCTCTCACACACACATACACACACACACACACACACACACACACA